AGGAGAGGAGAGGAGAGGAGAGGAGAGGAGAGGAGAGGAGAGGAGAGGAGAGGAGAGGAGAGGATGGTAATAAGGAAGTGAAAGAAAAGACAAATGCTGTAACTAGCTACTGCAATCTGGCCAAGCTACAACTCGTCATCATTTTAAGTATCTACAATAGCTGCTGCTGAATGCTGAACTGCTTTGCATTTGCTATTGCTCCAGCCAAGCAACAACCAAAAGAAAAGCAAAATGTATAGATGGATCATGTGGCAGACAGAGGCTTCCTAAATAAGAAGGTTAATATTAACCTGTAGCTCCAGAGAAACACAGCACAATGTTGGGTTTTATATACATGTAAAATATAAATCATAACATACAGAGGATAGAGCATCAAGGACATGATATAAGCAAACACACATGAGTTTGCAGTATATAAATCTTAATTTATAGACTGAAAAATCTATGCTTTGGTGTATACACATAGATATCTTCATGTGAGGTGGTTAATGGAGCTTGATTTAGGTAGCTAAACATGAACATAGACTGTTTGAGAAACTGTAGGGTAGATGAGACATTGAACAAGGAAAACAGACAGGACACAAGACCCCAACACTTTTACCCAATTAGACCAGCATCTGAAGCTCACACAAGATACAGTGGCATCCTAAAGCTCTTTATTTCACAATAAAACAAATACCAACTCTGGCCACTGCACAGCTCTCCTGATGTCACTGCACTGACTGGCTCCTCCCTGGCTGTATCAGGGGCTTTGTCACCAGCCTCACATGGAGGCAACTACATGGAGACACTTAAATTCAGGCATCCTGATCTACAGTGTCACAGACTCATGCCTAGTTTCTTCTGATATTTCAGAGTCCTAAAGACACTTGGGCTAGCAGGCAGAGGGTCACAAATCTCCCACAGGGCTGGTGTTATACCCAGTACCCAGTTCTGCCTGGGTACCTTGAGCACTTTAGGCATCTCAAACAACACTGGATTCCTGTGCTTAAATGACTTAGTCAAGCATAAAATGTCATTACTGTCTGAATTATTATCTGAATAATTATTATTAATTATTATTGACCAATACTGAAGTAGTATGTCATCTCAACCTTTTACTTTTCTCTCACTGGCCCTGCATCTTGAAGAAGATCATTTTTGTTGTTAGATGGAGACTGAATGCTTGTAAAATAAGACTCACATTTTCCCTCAGTCTTTTGTTTCCTTTTGATCAGATACTTCTGAAGGAACAGAACCAATAAATATAAGGTTGAAAAAAAAGGAATATGGGCAAATTTAGGTTCTCTGAATCCAGGCATAACAGAAGAAGGCAATCAACCTGGCACAACCTGCCTGGATCATAATTTTCTTCCTTTTAGGTTTAGACTGATTTTTGTGGTTTTGTTGCTGTTTTTTTTTTTTTTTTTTTTTTTTTTTTTTTTTTTTTTTTTTTTTTTTTTTTTTTTTTTCATACAAAGCACTACACAGGACTCCACTGAATTAAGAAAGTGAAGAACTACTGAGAAATGAAAGTGATGCAGCCTGAAGATTATGAAGAATCATAATCTGCTGATTATCATTATTTTGCCTATAGATGATCTGCAGAAAATAGAACTTTTCTTTGCTCTGAACTGCTCAAGTTCATTCACTTCAAAGCACTGTTTGCACATGCATCCATAACATGGATAATGCACACAACTCCCTGCTCAGGTGTTCCCATCTCTGGTGCACAAGCCCAGGCTGTGCTCTTAAGGCAAACAAGACAGGTCTGGGTGCATGTTCTGCCCCTAAATGCTTTGATCTCCTTTAGAGGAAAGGCAGCACAGAAATAAGCAGGTTGCTTAAATATATACCACGACCCATGGACATGACTGTGGTGGACATTTTTTGATAGATGTCCACTGCAAAAAGTTGTTTGCCAAATGTTTAAAATACCTGTATATATTCATGGTGTACATGAATAAAAACATACAGCATTGACTCTATTGAGATGGGTTTGTTTTCCAGAGATGCAAAGGGAGAAAAAAAATTGGAAAGCTTTTTTGAGCTGCTCATCTATTCACAAACAAAATAAGCATCACTAAATTATACCACTAAATATAAACACCATGTGCTCTAAATTGTGGCAATCTGCTTCTTGATTGGATAAAAGGATACAGTTTTGTTAATCTAGAAGGTCCAGGTGACTTGAATTGTTAGTATTTTTTAAACTAGTAATTAGTTAAGTGCAGTGTCAAGGTGTTCTGCTATCAAGTATTTTAAAAGCTGTTTGTATAGAAAACAGAAAAGTTAGGTACAAGAGTAATCTATGATAAAAAGTTTTGATAATAATTAGATGAGCTATATAATCAGTAAAAAAATATTGCATTACTTCAAGACTGGTTCAGAAAGAAAACCACAAAGCAAATACAACATATTAAAGCTTCTTTGAAGCCTTTCTAAGAGGAAATCTTCTATGTGAATTGGCAATCTTGTTCTACCCCTGTCGAGGTGATTATGATTATGAAAGGGGTAGGGAAACACTAACAAGGCATTACTCTGTGAGAATACACTGAATGGAGCATAACCGCTCTGTAGAATATCAAAAGCATATCAGGTTTGTTTCTTCATACATGATTAACCAAATCTATTGCTTTTTTGCTATAGTTTTAGTGTCTAGCACACTTTAAAAAAAAGGTGGGCAAACTGGGTCTTCTCATCTTAGAGTCTAAAATAACCATTGCCTTATCAAAATTTATTATTGTTTAAACTCTATACCATACTTTCCACCCATCAACAAAGTAGTAAGTAGTTCAAACATGCATAAAATGACAGCTGTTTACCAGTGCACAGCAACTTCAGAAAGTGAAGGCAGATAATTTTGTGCAATTCAGTGAAAAAGGAAAATTCTCAGTGCACTAATATTTGTAATAGAAATTTCCACATTGAAGAAACAAAGCAAATGTATCATTTTATCCTTTTAAATGTATTTAAATAGTTATAGTTAAAATGTCAGATAAATTGCAGTCACCCTATCCATGTCTAAATCTTCACGAAATCTCTTTTAGGCAGCACTGATTCAGTCTAGACCCAGATATGGGAATAAAGGCATAACAACACACCATGGAAGAAGCAATGGCAGAGAAACAAAGGCTGCTCAGTGCTGGCTGATGCATCCAGAGCTCCAATATGATGAAAAGAGACAGATTACCTGTCACCATCCCTGAGTGTATTTAAAAGACATGTACATGTGGTATTCAGAGATGTGGTTTAGTGGTGACCTGGCAGTGCTGGGTTAACCACTGAACATGATGATCTCAGACATCTTTCCCAACCCAAATGATTCTATGACACCCAAGTTAAAAATCTCTGCTCTTTAGCACTGTCACAGCCATGATACCTCTGGATTTGGAGGTAGAAAAGTCTAGTCTGAAGGTTTCTATCTTATAGCTCATCATACCATGAAGACACAGTTTCTACATCAGTCAAATAACCAGCACCAATTTCTGCCAACATCTGTAGCTCCCATACTGTCTTCTGTGGCAGCAACCAAAAACAGTCTAGCTTAATTTATGAGCAGGAACTTGAAATATCTTAAGATGGTCTGACTGTAAGTCCATATTGATAGAAGACTTTAAGCAGGAAGATTAACTTGGATCAATACATATTTTCATGGAAAATTTTCACTGCCTACCATGTCCTTTAAGAGCTGTTTTTTTTTTTTTTCAGGATGTAAAAGGACACAGAAGGCTTGCACTACTTTAACTTTCATGGTGAATTTTTTAGAACTTCTCAGCAAGCCTGATCCCCAAACACATGGAAATCAGCAAACTGCTGCTGTTGCCCCAAAAGGCTTTTGACCAGCACCGAATTTACTCAGGAGAATTAATACTGCTAAGTTGCTCTAATCCTCTTCTAAGTAGAAAAGTATTGCAGAAAGAGCCACTACATAAACAAAGAAGACCAACCCTTCTGAAGCAAATATGCAGGGACTGATGGGCTCAGTTAAATTACCATGTCCTTCCAGAGATTCTTCACTCTAAATCTGGCTATGACATTTACTTAAAGTGTTACCTGTCATTTCTCCATTTCTAAAGGAGGAATACTACTTACTCAAGACACTCTTAGGGAAAATTAATGTTTTCAGGGCACCTTAAAAATTAAACCAGCTATATATGTTTGCCAAGCTATCCAGCTGGATTGTGGGCATGCTGATTGAGAGCATTTTGGTTGCTGTGGACCGTGCATATATTCTCAGTTTCATTTTCGTTTCATTGGTTGCTTAATGAAATATGTGTCCATACATTACTAATGTAATCTATAAGATATATATATGTTTGCACAGCAAAAAATATATTACTTTTATTTCAAGCTCAAAAGGCAGCTGCTTACAGGAAAGAGCAGATTCTAGGAATATAAACATCGGGGGGTATTTTTAATCATTATTTTTATTTTTGTTATTTAGAGAGCCTTGAAGAGAGAAGCCAGTTTGCAAACTTATCCACTGAAGCCTAAAGGGGCTCTTTCAGTACAGCTGAGTATCTGATAATCAGATTAGCTAGCTCTGCCTGTAGACTGCTGCTATAACTGCTGGATGGACAAGAGACCAACATGTCTTGGTCAAAAGAAGAAGAGACTTTACTGAATAGCTACAGGCAATTCCAGTACTGACAATCACTCTCTGTGGAATTTGGTGAGACAGCACAGCTGCAGCAGCAGTGTGACGTGGCACAGTTGTGCATTTTTGTATCATAAATGCGACTCACGAGGAGATAAACAGGGCCTGATAAGACAACAGGACACGCACCCAGCCCGCAGTCACAGCCACAGCTCTCCAGTACCCACAGAAACCACTCCAGGTTGTTTACCTGCCCTCTGCAGCTTTCACAGCCCTGGGCAAAGAACAATGCACCCAGAAGTCAGAAGGGCAGGATGAAAGGGAAGTGTACGTACACGGCACCACGGCCCGGCAGCGGTTCTTCTGCACGTTCTCCTCCTGCTGCGCCGCGCTGCTCTCGTTGGGCTCGGCCTGGTACGCACACAGAGCTTCCCACTCCTTCTCCAGGCGGTTCTTGTTTTTCAGGTGATCTTCCATGTAGGACTGGAATTCAAAGAGTACTACATTAAGCAATAACTTAGCTAGGCTCAGAGCTAAGCTTAAAGGATGTTGCTCAAAGCATGGGAATGCTGAGCTTTGGGGAAAAAAAGGGGCTTAGTTTTAAGGTTCATTTATTTACTTAATAGAGTTTACTCCAAGCTTATTTGTGCTATAAAAAACGAGAATGATAAAATGTACCATTGCTAACAGAGAGGAAATGTATGAAACATCCAGTCACTGAGCTTTAGGAGGAAATTATTTCTTCTTTAGTACTTAGAAAACAGAAGCCCAAATGTCTCTTTCATCAGGCAATGAAAAAAACCAAGTTCCATTGACAAAAATTACTACAAATACCTTCTGTCAAAACAAAGGATTTTACAACCAAAGTTCAAACACATACACATGTCAAAACAGTGATGGAAATGTTGAAAAGAATTTAAAAATTGCTAGGATGAATTGTTGAGGCTTAAGCACTGGGTCATCAGAAGCTCATCTTGCAGATGAACAGGCACAGAGAGGGCCTTGAACTGAGGAGATGTTGCTAATTATTATCAATATATGTTGTTATACATTGTACATTGCATTCAGTTAAGAGTATTGGGAAAAGCATCACCGAAGAAAACTGTCTGTGGTGGGAATGATGGGCCATCCAAGTATCTTGGTGCTGATCTTTCGTAGTTCTCCCAAGGCTAGAGCTCCAGTCCAGCAGTGGATAAGAATTCAGCACCAAAGATTTGAGAAAAGTGAAGCAACATGGATCAGAAGATAATCCAAGTATATGAGGGGAGGACAGCAGAAAGGAGGAAGAGTGGGGAAACCCAGAAATCTTCCCTGCCCTTTAGCATGAAAATTAAGAAAGTGATCACCTAGTACTTCAAGCCTACTTATACAGGCTCATTACCTTGCAGAGCCTGCCATCTTCTACAACAAGCAAGAGTCATCTCACGTTACACCTGTTCATATCTGCAAATTAAACTCAATACTGCCTTTACTAGGTAGGTTGAAATTAACATTAGTAAACAGATTTAAAAAGGACAGACTGTTCGGGAGACAGGCTCAGGGCTGAGGTCAGTAGCAGAGCTTCTGGCCCAAACATCAGCCACGGTGGTTATTGCTGGAACTTTCAAGAATACAGCCCAATATGTAGCAAAACTTGTCTAGAAAAAGCTCCCAGAAAGGATTGACTGTAAAGTTAAAAAGCACTTTAATTGCTTAGGAAAAAGCTCCCAGAAAGGATTGACTGTAAAATTAAAAAGTACTTTAATTGCTTAGGAAACCCTTTCCATAGACAATCTCTGTGATGTCAAATTGCTCCTCCCAAATGTGCTTTAAAGAAGAAAAGCTCTCATGCCCAGTCTACAGGTTTAACAGAAGGTGCAAAAAGCTTGCAGCTTGTCCTCTGCCAAACAGGAGCTCTGCAAATCTGTTGTGCCACTGCGCTTCCCACCTGGCTGGCAGGGCAGGATACAGCTCCCTGCTGCAGCTAGAACAGCTTTTTGATGACAAAAGAACCCCTGACACACAGCTTTGTTTGGTGCAGGGTTTGTCAGGCTGTCTTTACACAAGGTTTGTAAATCAAAGCTGGTACTGAAAAACCAATTCAAGAAGCGACGCTTCCAGAAGGGACATCTTTAAGGACACATAAAAATATTGCATTAGAAGAAAGATTTCTAAAGGAGGTAAAAAATAGTGGTGGCCTAGATACAATCAAAACACTGTGTGATTGCTGCTTTTCTATAATGAAGGAAGAAGCATTGCAGTGGACAGAGCTGTGACCTGACAGATGTGGAGCTGGGAGAGCAGCGTGGCCCGGTGTGTGTCAGGGTGTGGGTCTGGTAACACGTTCCCAGCATTAACTTGCAAGTTAACAGGAGGAAACCATCCTCTAATAGTTTGTTTGTCCTTGTCAAAAGGCTGTTGTTACAAGGGAAAGGAGGGAGGCTAAAGATCCTGTTCTTTTCTCCTAGCAAATCTGTGCCTGGACATGTATACTGAAATCATAGTGGAAAAAAAAAAAAAAAAAGATAATCCCTCCGAGCAGAGAGTTGCTGGTATACAAGAATTTTTATGAGGCAAAGGGAAAAAATAGCAAAATCTTACAATACCACCCAGCCAAGACTGCTGGCTTCAGAGCAGCTGTTTAGCATGCAGCAGAGATCAGGCAGTCAAGGACCAGCTTGTAGCATCTTCCCATTTTAAACCACAGTTTTATAATCTGATTCATTTTGACATGCCCATCACCAATATCCCACAGACTTCAGGGACATTTTATGCAGATATACAGATCTGCCAACACTGAATCTCTCCAAAATATTGGTAGGTCCACAAAGCTGTACGAAAAGGACCATGAACATTTGATTCCTAAGGCAGGACTGAATGCAGTAAGGAGCTTTCTGTTGACTCCAGCTTGTCTCTCTGATGATTTCAAGGATTGTATTTTAAAAAGAAATTTAATTTCCTTTTTAAATTGTTAAATCTGACACAGTTAAGGTAAAGTTTACTGTTAAGGTAAATTGACTGCTTTTATTGCACATGAACTTTTAAATAACTCAATGTTCTTTAAAGGTTATTACTTTTACCTTCATTTTTCAGGTAATCTTGAGTGTAAAGATACATGAATTTTCAAATGAAAACACACTGAAATCTCTACTTTAACCAACCATTTTTTGTGTGGTTTCAGTTCCTGCATCACATGGATCAGGTTCACAGGGCACTTCCCGACAGACCTTCCAGAGGTGTTTGACTACTTGAATGGACCCATGGAAGGCTCTGCCCAATATGAACATCTGCTTTACACACATTTTTAAAAGCTACTGAGAAAGCAGCTTGCTTTAAAACATTCAGGAGACAGACAATTCCCTCAGAGTTAAGTAATCTTTCATTTACAGTCCTTCAGAGCCCCCACGCTCATCCCCACTTTGCTAAACAGAAGCTTAGTGATTTTGAAACACTCTCTTGGGAGCTGCTGGATGTACATTAAATTGAGTGGAACTTCTGATATTTTAGAGATTGTATGTCTACTCAAATCCACTCCTTAATTAGGATGTTTTGATGAGACATTCTGCAGTGTTTGCGCGGTGCAAAAGAAATTCATTACCAACATGTCAAACACGCACATGATTGTCCTTGTCCCAGAGCAGCAGGTAAAATAAATAAAGGTTGTCACCACTGTTATTGCAATGATCCTCAAGCCTGCTGAAAAAACCAGAGGTCTAGACTCACCAATATGGGCACAACAAGGCAAGTCCTGTAATCCCAAGTATATGCTATTATTTAAACAAACACCATCTGCTTGCACAGATCTTCTGATGCACCTTAAATTCCATTAACCTTACTTTTCCTTCCCCAGGGCCTCACCTGCAAGGACAATTGATAGCCCAGTCCCTACTTTCTCTTGTTTAGACAGAGGAGATAATCTTGCTACCAAACATGCTGTGGGGATAAGGAGATGTGCTGATGTAATGAGGACAGAGTGGATGTATTATAAAATCCATTATTACTGTGTGAGACCTGCCAGTTGCAAGGCAAAAGGGGAGCTTTCAGCAAGAGGATGAAAAGCTGTCCCAGGGACAGTGAATGGGCTAAAGTCACACTGCCAGTGGCACATATTAAGACAGATTCCATATGCCTGAACCCAGGCACAAGGACAGAGCACAGTGGCCCAGCTTGGTTTTGGTAGAACATGGGTTTGTTAGAGCTTCCTGTGTGCTCTGCTGATGCTGTAATATGATGTCCAACTACTTCGGTTTTCTTTTTTTTCTTCTTTACACTTTTATCAAGAGGGGTGTCCAACATATACTCTGTGACTAAATAAGGTTAAAAATGTAACTATTACATTCTAATTAACTGATCAATCTTTAACTCATAGAATCACTGAATCATTTAGGTTGGAAAAGTCTCTCAGATCATCAAGTCCAGCTGGTAACCCAGCACTTCCAAGTCCACCACTAAGCCATTTTCCTCAGTACCACATCTATATGTCTTTTAAATACCCCCAGAAATAGTGGTGACCCCACCACTGCCCTGGACAGCTTGTTTCAGTGCTTGGCAGCCCTTTTGGTGAAGAAATTTTTTCTAATATCCAATCTGAACCTTCCCTGGCACAACTTGAGGCCATTTTCTCTTCTCCTATCACTTTTTACTTGGGTGAAGAGACACAATACTTTCTTCAGAGGCAGTATGGTTTGCATCTGTCAAGATATTTGTTTTAAAAATGTCTATTTTATTAGCTGATGTTCAGTTCCCACAATTATTTTTGACAACATACTTCCAGTACAGTACTTGAGCAGAAACCCTTTTCATGACTGAGGATGCATCTTTCAGTGAAAATATGTACAGCTCTCAAATTGACAGATCTTGACAGGTCTAATCGAATTTCAAATGTCAGCTGAAGATGTGGATGTGAAATTATCTTAATCCTTGTGAATGGTGACTGCTCAAACCCACACTGTACACCCAGCAGTGTGGGAACCACTGCTTTCAAACTACTGCTGCCCTTCACAGAGATGCAGAGGGCCAGGCAGTCCTGTCATGCTTCCCAGGGTTCCTCAGAAGGAGGAGAGAAAATTCTAGAGGAGGGAATTTGTCTTAGCTATTATATAGCAAATTGCGCAGAAAATGCTATACTTGAAAAAAAAAATTGTTTTTTATTCTCGCCACTTAATTTAAATAATGTGGTTTTTTGCCTTTGTTCCTTGCTAACTCATGGGTTGCATCGTTCTGGCCCAGGATACCCCAGAATTCTTGCTACTCTGTTTGAACTTTAGTACACATTGCATTGACTACATGTAAGAGGAATACTTTTCTGCATAAATCCAATTCGCTTTCAACACCACATATGGTTTTGTCCTTCCATTTTCTGGATTAATACCTTATCATTAGTGGCTTCACAGTAAATTTCTCTGTTCCCACTCATATTACTCACAGTGCTATAGAATTCAGAGACAGAAGCAGCCTATCTGATTACTTGCTTCCAGTCTTCAAAGGCCTTGCTTCTCCAGGCC